GCCTGCTCATCAATCTACCCACTCATTCATCCATCAATCCAACCATCCATCAATCAACCCATCAATCCTCATCCACCCACCCACACATCCATCCAACCACCTGCTCATTAATCCATGCGCCCACTCACCTACCCTTCCACCCTTCATCCATCCAACCACTCATTCATCCATCAATCCAACCATCCATCAATCAACCCATCAATCCTCATCCACCCACCCACACATCCATCCAACCACCTGCTCATTAATCCATGCGCCCACTCACCTACCCTTCCACCCTTCATCCATCCAACCACTCATTCATCCATCAATCCAACCATCCATCAATCAACCCATCAATCCTCATCCACCCACCCACACATCCATCCAACCACCTGCTCATTAATCCATGCGCCCACTCACCTACCCTTCCACCCTTCATCCATCCAACCACTCATTCATCCAAACACCCACTCATTAATCCAGCCATCCACCCACACATCCTGCTATTCATCCAACAGCCCACCCATTCATTGATCCAACCCCACAGCCACCCATCCATCCATCCATCCATTAGAGATTAAAACTACCTGTTGAGTTGTATCTGCATCTGCAGAGTAAGCTCGGATGTAAAGTTCTCAGAAATCGAATTGATCTCCTCCTCCAACCTCCCCATGCTGTTCCGCTCTGACTCACAGCTGTTGGGTTGGACCTACCAAAAAAAGTAATCACTTTATTAAATATGACATTAATAAAATTATGCAACATTCAGAATATTTTTAAAATGAAAAATCTGGATGTGTTTTGCACAAATATATTGTCCACTTCTGTAAAAATAGAAAAATGCTATTTCCGGTTTTATTGACACTATAATTCTTTGTAACGATTAGGAATAATTCTCTAACAGTCTGAACTCTGCCTGCTCCACTTCCAAAGATATATATATTTTTTTTTTAGTAAGAAGAAACATAGCATTTAAGAGGAATGATAACTTTGACATCAACTGCAAATATTTTCCAAAAAGCTTGCAGCCGACAAAAATTGTGCCAACATTTGCAGAACATACCACCAAACGGAAGATGGAACAAGTGCTGCAAAAAGAAACTTGACATTCACCTCTAACTGTGAAAGAGCAGAGAGGCTCGGAGGAGGTGGAGGAGAGGAAGAAGCAGTAGAGGGAGCCGTTAAGACCTCTTCTTTGTGTGTAAGGAGAACTCCCCAATTTCTCAGAAGGTGGAGCAGTAGAGCGTTACAAACACTCTGCTCCTCCAGCATCCTGGGCCCTGCTGGAACGCTGCAGGAAGAGGAGAAAGAGGATCAACAACACAGTGTTCATTTTAAAACAAGAAGATTCAAAATACAGTTACAAATGTTGGGATAAGGGTTTCCATCTAGTGGACAGAATCTTAAACAGCACTGTGCTGACAGAAACAAATATAATATGAAGCTCTCTCTTCTAATGCTACAGAAAGCCATCATCCTCTCATAAAAATAAATAAAAGCCTCCAATTTCTGTGCCTTCTGGCAAAAAAAATCATTTTAAATATTCTATTAATCAAAAGTACTCCTTTAATTAATAAACATAAATACTAATTTTATAATGAAGTTTTTGAAAGTGGACACTAAAAATGTGAAAAACCTTAACAGCAATGTGCTGCCATGGCACAGGAGTCATTTTTAAGTCTATCAAGTGTGACAGATCTACAAGAGGAAGTGGCTGTTTCTGAAGACATGTGGGTGAAAACATGGAGGAGGTCTGGGGTGCAGTCAGTGTCACTGATGCTGTTACCAAGCACATATGTTACAAAGCTGTCACACAGTGTTACTTGTTAGAAATATAACTCAAATCTAAACCAAGGCTACATAAAAGGCTCTTATTCGTGTATGAAACAGTCTTTATTCTTTTTTACCCTATAGCTCTTCTAATCTCTGCTGAAAGAAAAATGAACAGCATTATTTACAACCTAGTTCAAACCCATTTTTTCCTTAAAGTTCCTTTTGCAGTTACACAAACCCAAACATTTCTGCCTGTGGGTAAGAGCAGCATTCTTGTTTCATACATAAGCCTTTATGCAATGATGGACAGACATGGCATTTGCTTTAACACAAAACAACCGATATAAACAACATCAAAGAATGACGTGTCAACCCGATATAATGACTCCTTTCTACAGTCACACAAAGTTAAAAACCCGAAGCCAGTTGAGGCTCCACAGAGACTCGGCTTGTTTATAGTGACGGCTCAGTTCAGTAAACAGGAAGGGAGAAGCAACGAGCAAAGTCCTGATGACCTTGTTCATATCTGTACGTCATTTTCTGTGCCATGCTCTGCATTACAAGCCGCAGATAACAACCGTTTTCTACAAGCGGATGAACATAACTTCACACAACAAACACTCAGCAGTGAAGCTTTTGAACTAGGGCACAACTTTGAAGGGTGTTTTTATGTGAACCAGGCTGTTTCCCTGCAGGGGATCTAACAGAATTACAAACATATGTGAAACAACAAGATCTTCATCAGAAGGTACTGCACTTGGGTTTTATTTATTTATTTAAAAAAAAGAATATTACCACAACTGATCTAGATGTCATTCTATCATTATAACACTGAAAGAACATGAAGACTGATTACAAAAACTTACTGAAATATACAAGGTCCAAAGATGGTTGCTAAGTTTTCCACAGGCATGTGGTTGTAATGACTCTGGGACGCCACTCTGCGCAGAAAGTGGACGAGGTAAGACAGAATATTGAGGCAGGAATCAGGCAGGAGGCAAAGGATCTCTCTCAGGTTTTGGTTCAGCTCGGCCTCATGTGCATATCCTAAAAATAGAGAATAAACAACAGAATTGATTTGTTTCCTGACTCCACATCCTGGTAAAGATGTGTATAAACCTCTAAAATAAACTAATCTTTTCCTGAAGTAGAATACAACAGCGGTCCCTAAAGGCCCGCCATCTGTCATGCTCCCTGAATCAGCACACCTGGTTTAAACATTTGATTGTTCCCTCGTTCATTTAAGCGAGGTATGTGGCAGCAGGGAAACATCTAAAACAAAGGAAACAGTGGTTCCTGAGGACTGGCGTTAATAAGCACTCCCTGATTACATGAGACAATGTTGGAGCATATAGAGAGAATGATCTTTAATCATTCCACTCCAAAATCCATGGTATATTTTTTTAATCTTCAAAAAAAAAAAAAAAAAAGAACACAGTTCCAGCTAAAGTGTCTGCAGGATTTAGCAAACACAATTTTATTTTTTTAATTATTTTTTTGATAAGAAGACAGAACAAAAAGAAAATAATTTTGCATCACTCTCAAACACCCAACCGGAGATCTTTCTGCATGGAGTTTGCATGTTCTCCCTGTGCAGGCATGGGTTATCTCCTGGTACTCCGACTTCCTCCCACAGTCCAAAAACATAACTGTTTGATTAATTGGCTTCTCTAAATTCTCTTTAGGTGTGTGCTGCGGTGGATAAATAATTATGATTTATATCTAAATAAAGCAATAACAGTTATATTAGATATAGCTAGTGAAAACATAAATGTACCAAGTACCTGTTAGGCTCAGAACCAGCTGTTTGCGCTGCGGCTCAGGAACTAAAGGAGTGGGCAGTTCCCGCAGAAAGAGCTTGAGTAGAGAGGCTACAGTCGGGACATCCCCCTCTTGCTCCAGATCCACTTTCTCTCCCAGGTCCCACCGCTGTCTCAGCTGCCTGGTTCGTGCCACAGACCCACACAAGCGAAACAAACCCCTTTGATGCAGTCCTAAAATAACACAAATAGATCCAGTCATAAACATAAGAGTGATATTTGAAACAAATGAAATAAAAGTGTGAATAAAGAACTTGAAGAAAAGAGAGATGAGCCATACGAACCTCTCTTTTCCAAGAACTCCACCATGTCTCTTAAAACAAAAGGTATTCCAAAGATCATCTGTCCATCGTCTTTTAGTTTTTCCAAAGATACTCCAAACACACACCCCGGAGGTACTTTAGAAACTGGCACTTGTGCAAGAGGGAGTTCCGGGCAAACCTTGGCATTGGGCCTTAAGATTCTCACGGAAGATGCTTCACACTGCAGTGAGGAGAGAAATCAATAGAAGGACACATCATTTAATATAACAGCAAACACCACAGACAGGTTCAAACTTCACTTAAACTACTAACTTCTAGTGTTACAATTTAAAATACAAAAGATCTCTAACAAACACAAATACTATTCATTAACAAATTCAAAACTCTTGCAGATTCAAATTGGCATTTCAGTTCATTTTTTAAGTTTATAATTAGTATAATGCCAATAAATGTTCAACATATAGTGGAGTTTGCTATACAGAGATGGATGGATGGATGGCTCAAATAACACATATGAATAATACATAAATATTGTGTAGACTTAAAAGGTAAAAGACAAAACAAAAAAATTATAATAGGCTTAATAATTTTTTAGATGTAAGCACTTCTTTGGGTTTTTTTTTTTTATATATATATATATAGAATTTAATTTAGGTGAAACTCATTGTTTCTTTTATTTTACATTTTATAGAATAATTTTTTAAAATAAATAAAAAACAACAAAGGGCAAAGTTACATTTTTGTTGTAAGATCATTCAACCTAACTCCTCTTAAAAAATAACATCAGCCCAATGCTGGTGTGCCTGGCAACATGACAGACATTACATAGAAAAAGACGCATTCAGGGACCCCCTGTAAACAACAAAACTCCATTAAACAAATTAGGACACGCGTTAGGCTGACGTGGGAAAGCACCTGGTAATAAGACTGAGTAGCAGTATATGTGAAGGCAGACTTACACAGAGTGATAATGAAGCGCTTGCGCCCATTTTTCAGCTCAGCGAACTGGAACAGCTCTGCCTCTTTGGGTTGTGAATGGACTTTCCTTTTGCCCACATGATGCTCCGCTTACCGCCATTTGCGAAGAATTGCAGCCGGTTGTCGGCATTGTCTTTACATCCCGGCGTCAGGAGAACAGCTGGTCAAAAAGCTGCTTTTGTTGAAGCTTTTTTCCTTAGTTCTTTCCTGCTTACTTCACTGGCAAATTGTTTACGTTACTAGTCACGTGGTACATGGTCTCTAAGGGCGTTGCTAAGGGAAGCAATTAAAAGGTTCAAGATGCTCAGGTGAAACTGGAGATGGTTTCCATCACCAACTGACCAGTCCAACCCTTTTATGTTTTAATAATAATAATAAAGATAATAATAATACCTACAGTAGCTCTAAATAAGTTATAAATTGAGAGATGATAAAAGGACATGACTTTATAAACATTTTCACTAAATTGGCATCTAGGCTAATCTAAATCATCCTGTTTCAATATCTATACTGCTTTGGCTTGTCAAATCTAGAAAAACTTCAAGCTGATGGAAAAATCTGGATTTCCATTGGAGTTGTTCGTATATGAATCAGGCAGTCTAAGAAGTGAGATTAAGTTTAAAAGCCGGATTTCAGGGTTGGAGACCAAAGTGTTACAAAATGATCCTTTCCGGACTTTGAATAAGCGTGCATCTGAGATTTCATAGTCAATAACTCCTAAACACACACAAAAAAAATCAATCAAAGTAGAAAAAAAACACATGTGATGTGGTAAATCAAACACAGAGTATGACATTTATAAGATCAACTTTATATAGATGACAGCATTTGAGTCCCAACCCTAAAACATCGTTCTATACACATGCATCATATACTCAAATTAATCCACACTTATGGAACCTCAACAAATCAAAATCTATATTCTGCATTTAAATCAAAAAGAAAAACTAAATACAGCAGTCAATTAAACGTAATTTCTGCATTGAAATTGCACAGTGCAGTAACAGCGATGGTGCAAGGAACCCAGTTCATGCTCAATCTTTTCATATGACTAGGTTACAATTTGCAAACTATACTTAGTTGGTTACACAAAATATATGCTTCTCTCGCTGTATTTTTTGTTATTCTTAAACTTCTGTTCTATGATCCTAAATAAAAATCCACAGTATTTTATCTCAATGAGCATTTGTATTTCATCAAAAAAAATGCATATCACATATTCTGAATTAGAATATAAACTATTCATGATTTTTATTTTCTGCAAATATAAATCTTAAAACTTTGGCAAGCTTTTTTTTTTCTGGAGCTGATGAATAAAACACAGTCAAGAAATTCTCTTCAGACTTTTTATCAGAAAATATAAGTTTGTAGAAGAAAAACCAAACCTGTTAAAGGTTTCTGTTCAGATGGAACTAAAACTGAAAACCTATGCTAAGCACATTGAAAACACGCTGTGGGGTGGCTTTTTCTTCTGCAAGGAGGAAGTTATTCAAAGTTGATGATTAAGCTATATAAAGCCAAATACAAGGCCATCAAGTAAATTGTTACAGGTTACAAACCATGCAAGACTAGAAGTTCACTTTCTACTAAGACAGGGAGCCAGACTTATAAAGGAAAGCTTAGATTACAGTATAGTCATGATGTAGGATGGCCCCAAATAAGAGCAGGATTAAAAATATGCAGTGGACTTGAATATTGTTGCCTACTGATGATCTAACTCCAATGTGACTAAGCTTGAGATGTTAAAGAAGAGTGAACAACCATTTCTTTGTGCAAAAGTAAATGTTATTCTATCACATAAAGCTGCAATAACACACAATGAGGTCTGTATTTATTAAAAAATAGGAAAAAGTTCAAAGGGTATGTGATATAAGATGTGTTATAAAGTATGAACTGGTAGTTTTTGAAAGGATTGGGGGATTTTGGGCTATACATTCTATCAAATCAATATAAGTGCAAGTAAAATTTGCTCTTTAATTGTAAAGCTCTCCCAGCACTACCTACAACTTAAACAATCAAGACATCATAACACATGCTTCACAAAAATCAGTCCGCAACATTACTAATCAAAACAGCTTTATTGGCACATTTTAAATAAAACAAGAAAACTATAAGGCTCACATAAATATTACAATGATGAAATAAAAAAATGAAAAGCTATGACATACAGCTGAATGGCTACAGTACTTCATCTGCTGCACCCTACCAGAACAAAACAATGATGAACAATTAAGTCCCAGATTCACGCTCACTCTTTACACTGGAGCTACCAAAAACATCTGTAGTGGTTTTACTCAACAGCATATACAGTTTCAAAAGCCTGTTACACTTCAACTCAATAACAACCTTTATAACATTGTTTAACAGCTCTATAACCAGTTTTGTGCATATAAAAGTCACTAGCACATAGAGCTTAACAAACTACGGGTAATATAAGGACATGACTCAGAAGCGAACGACTGGGTGCAGGGACGCAAACACACACAAAAAAAACATAGATGCACAGAAAGTGATGGACAAGGACCAGGAGGGCCGAAATGAAACTTTGTGAGGTCTCATGAAAAACCCTTGCAGCACAGAGAATCAACATGCTGCAAAAATGTCACACAAACAGCAAGATTTGCCAATTTGTCTACATGTTTTTACAAGTATCTGTCTGGTCAAAGAAAGAGGTATGTTCAGCTTATGTTATTGTAAAACATAAAACAAAATGCAATTACATATGAAAACATAAGAAGAAAGCAAGGCATGTACGTTGATTTAACAGGCATTATTTGATAACAGGCATTGGTTATCCTAGATGCTTTGGTAACATACAGAGTGGAGTGATCACTTACTGAGACCAAAATACAATATCAGACTTACCCTTTATGAGTATCAAAAAAAAAAGCTTACAACCAACACATAATTAACTATTGTCTACCTTAAAATGGGTGATTATGTGTGCGTTTCAACATCACATTTTACTGTGTTACACTCTGTTTTACAGAATGTTCATTGGTGGCATAATTTTATGTTTTTAAGACCCAAAGGAAAAAATAGTCTACAATAAAAAAAGACATTTTGGAGTTTTTTTTACCAACATTGTTCTACCAACCTCGTAAAATGAGGTAATAATAAGAAAAATATTCATAAAAGGATTTAGAGTCAACACTTCAAAAATATCTGCTGTAAGTGGGTTGAACCTGAGAACCTGGTATATTGAAATCTGGCAGCAGAAATACAGAAGACTCCCAGCATATTTAGAGAAAAAAAATCTCTAAGAGTTTGTTTGAGCATAGTCCAAAAAAACAGTCTGTGAGCAGCAAGTGCCGGGATCTTTGTGAAAGGTGCTTAAATTCAGGCAACTGAGGCAACTTTTTCACAGGTGCAGGTGTATTGGACTTCGGGTTTGTTATTCTCAGAGGACTTCCTGTTCCAGCAGGGAAGGCTGAGTAGAAAGAGGATAAATGCTCCCAACAGCACGCAGCTCCCACTAAAGTAGAACGCCAAGTCGTAAGACTGCGTCCAGTCGAAAAACCACCCTGCAAAGTGATATGAAGAAAACACCATGGTCAGGACCGTCAACAAGGCATCAGACAAGCAACCTCTTAGAACACGTCAGAGGCTGCTAGGAAGTTTAAAACATAGATAAAAGCAAGTTTCTTACCAACAACAGGGGGCCCAAGCATGATTCCGAATCCCCCGAAGAACATTAGGATGCCGTGAGCTTGTGTCAGTCTATCTAAGCCAACGATTTTAGTGGTAATGTAAGAAGTGAGCGACCAGTTTCCAGAGAAGAAACCAAGAATGGCAGTAAGGATCTGCAGTCCAATATAACTTTTGGTGATGGGGATAAGGAGCAGTGCCAAACCTCCTGCAAACATTGTGAAGGCATATAGGTAGACACCGTTGATCCATTTGAAGTCCACTATAATGCCCAGTGCTAGTTTGCCTATGCAGGTGCTGATAGCCCCTATTGATACAAGAGGAATGATGCTAACTTCTTCAATGAGTCCTTCACTCTGTGCCACATCCTCAATAAAGAGGACAGGTGGGAATGCCCCCAAGCTGAACAAGAAGATGGCAATGCAGAAGGCCACCATTTCTTGGTCCTGCAAGATCTCGTACAAAGACTGCATGTACTTGCAGTAAGCCTTGTGTTTTTTCTTGATTGCTTTCATGATGGCTAATCCAGCTAAGGGACCCTCTTTTTTCTCTGTTTGAATCGTCAAGTCCTTGGACTCAATGGTGATGAGCAACTCCTTCACTGTGAGAGGTTTCTCTGGAGCGGTCGTTGCTGAACCCACTGCAATCTTGAGGTCATCAAAAGGTGGCTTCACGAAGAGCTGCTCCTCCGTGTTTCGCTCGAGGGCTGCCTTTTGTTTGATGTAGTACCCAGGCATGTTGAGGGGCCTCATGAAACCAGAGCATGCCATGAGATTCAGTGCTATGGCTCCGATGATTAGCAGGCAGCCATCCAGGCCGTAGAGGACAATCAGCTCGTTCTGAGCGGTGGCATAGATGAAGGCGCCTACACTTGTGCCTGCACAAGACGAGAGGGCAAAGATTTAATATTGGTGTAAAAAATAAAGACAACTCATTAAAAATTATGCAGGGTAAGGAAAAGAAGATGCTCAGTCATTATCGCAATGTTATTCTATTAACCCCAAGAGGTCAAATTTCCTGATCGATTCCAAGGAAGTTTTCAATCTCAGCCAAGCCAGATCAAGTCAACAGGTCTGTCCACCTGTCTAATTAATGGACCTCTCTGGCTTCACTACACTACACATGTTTACCTGAGCTTCGTAAGGCTCCCAGCAGCTCAAACATTAAAGAAGTGAGCATGGAGAACAGCAAGGCACCCAGAGATCTCAGGGCAGAGGTAGGCGGGAGTACCTGTGGTGACGATGCCAAGGGCGAGGCCGCGTCTCTTGTCAAAATACTGACAGGTGATTGTCAAGGTGGCTGCGTAGACAAGACCACAACCCAGGCCTAGGAAGAGAGAAAAAATATATAATCAATTAGCCCAGATTATTTATTTTGAGGATAACCATATTTAATTTGAAAGAGCATCAACAGACTTATGTAAGACCCCTAGAAAAACATGTAACATGATAAGTAAACAAGCTACATATGCTTGTTCAGCAACAGACAGTTTTCTGAGGGCATCTCTAAAAATAAATTGCTCTTTGAATATGCACACCATCTCTTGTCAGCGCACCCTGCATGAAAAGTAGCATTGGGGGTGAGGGGGTTTATCAGGGTTAAGCACGCCTGGACAGTCACTTAATATGCAGCAACAGGTGGTAGCTGGGTCCATGCATAAGCACTGGGAAGGAGACAAAGGCAGTAAAAGCCCAAATGGGAATTATGGCTGAGTCATTAGTTCTTATTTTTCTGTAAACAGTGGTCAGTAATGTTCAAACAAATGGAGCAATGGGTAAGGGTATATGCTGCCACCATATCTAGTCCATCGGTGTTTATTAACCAGTAATTGGGGCTAAAGTAGGTCTCTGATGTTACATAACTTTTTTTTTGCCTTAACATGCTGTCTTGCTTGTTTTCAGTGGTTATACAATATGTTTTTAATGCACAAAGGTTTGAAGGACATCAGACCAATTTACAACCATGAACAGAAAAACATAAACCACATGTTTTATTGCTACAAGATAAGATCTAAATGGGTACATCAATGTCCTTTCAACTCACTACTTCTCCATGTCTGGGACTTTGCATTTGCTTTTCACTATGAGTAAAGTTTGCTTCAAAGGAGTACTATTCAATCAGAAAATTGAGAATATTCTAAGGATTCATCTGGACGAAATCAAGCAGATGACTTAGAAACCTAAACTGCTGGGCTGACATCAGAGATTGGCTAAAAGAGCAACATCCAAATCAACTGAACCAGCTTCTACCTGCAACTGAAGAAAACTAATAAAATGAGTCTCTTTTCCCCAGAGAAAAGACTCTTTACAATTGAAGTATCAATTACTGCTTTTGCTATCATTATGCGTAAAGACAGGATATTTGAAAAATAACATCTGTGTATGTTGAAATGAGAGTAAAAGATTTCTTTTAATCTGTACTGTTTCTGGAGCAATTACCATTTTTAAATGTCCTCAAATATCTTCTTGGCTCAATCTTAAAACTTGAAATTTTGACATTCTTACTTTTAGAAAATGACTGTATCAATAGATATTTATGTTTTATTTAATCATTTCTGATTTATGGTAAAATACATTAACCTAAAAAAGTTCTAAAATGTCTTGCAAATATTGTGCTTCTCGGAAAACAGCATCTAATGAGGTGCAAGCAGTTAAAAAGAGAGATAAATATTCAATCAAATCTATTGGACTGGATATCTTGACTGATGTTTTCTCTGAAAAGGAGATACTGTTCATTTAAATGATTACTTACCAACAACAATTCCATAGGAAAATATGAGGAACTGGACGTTTGGAGCAAATGCACTGAGCATCAGGCCACCTGCCACCATCACACCACTGAAGATGGTGACAGGGCGTGCTCCAAAGTTGTCTACGCAGGCACTGCAGATGGGACCTGAGGGGAAGGTAGAGGAAGAAAGGTAAAGAAAAAGATAGTCAGGGGAAATGGCAGTTTGATGAGGGCAAAAAATATCAGGCTAACAAAGGACAGAGAAGATATAAACTACTACATCATCAGATCACCTTAGATGTGTTGTTATATTCTATCAAATGCTGTTTCATTCAGTAGTTTGATAAATTGTATTGCATAATAATACAAGTAATTCCTACTAGTCTAAATATATCTATATCCTGAGGCTGAGTAACTAAAAACCTTTTTTAATGTCAATTTTCCGAGATCCTGTGGGTGTGACTGCTTTTGCTGCTGCTGTCTTGCAGGAACTGCAGCGTTTTAGAAAGCTGACGGCTAGGACACGTGTCCCGGTCTTGCCCAGGCCTGAAGCTAGATCTATCTAGTTTTGATTTCCCCCACTCTCTCTTTTCAGACAGACAGCCAAAAGCCATGCTTGAGAGGAAGGCTCTGCCTATGGAAATTTCAGATTAAGTCATGAGTTAATCACTGCTCCTGTTTGTCAGCATTCCTGGAGAAAAGATAAGCTTCCATGTTGTTCTAGAACAATAACATTTTAACTTTTTTTTCTGGCACACTTTAAGGCACTTTCTCTTTTTTTTCTTTTACTATAAAGAACAAGGACAAATCCAGCCGATTAGTCCAATTATTTCTTCCGTGTCATTGTCTTCCTCCTGTCTCTCCTTTCCTCTCTCAGCATCTCAGCGGTTGGCTTAAGAGCTAAATGATCCTCCTACGTTCACAGCATGGATGACATGCACTTGCTTTGCTCTCCGGGAAAATCGATACGTGCAACTCTGCTCAGAGAGCCACAAAGTGCTCTTTATTATGATCCAACTTCATCTATCTGTTGACTGAATGTCTGGATCATAGCGTTATTGCTTCTTAGATAGCACTCATCATATAGACTTTGAACAAGGACCATGTCTCCTCTGTCATCAGTGCTGAGTGATTACGACTGGGTGGAGATGGTTATACAGGTGTGAAAGTGAAAGGTTTCATTTTTAAGAGTTCCACTTTAAACACATAACTCATTTAGTATCACTATCCTAATCACACATTTATTGATCATATTGATAGCAGCTGTTTAAAATCTAAAGAACTTCTTTTTTTTCATATAACATTGAGAAGATATAGGATATTATTGATTTTTCTTTACTTTTATTTGTTCAGGAGGAATTATATTGATTCATTGATTATCTGTCAGTAATGTAAAAAAAAAAGAAAAAAAAAGAATAATAGGTATAATTTCTTGCGTGACGGCAAGGTTTGTTACTCACTGGCAATTAATCCCACTCCTCCCACCAGAGAGCCCACCCAGGCGGTCATGGCCTTGCTCTCCTGGTAGGTGTGCAACCACTCGGGGTACAGGACCCCCACGGACTGGGGGGATCCAAAGGACAGAAGCTGGGCCATGAAAGACGCAGCAACAATTGCCCATCCCCAGCCTCCATCCAAGGTTTTGGTGGATGAAGTCATGATGCCGATGTTACTGGGGCCCGAGGGGATCTGTTACAGCTTTTATTGAGGAGAAGTTCCTAAACAAAGGAAAAGAAACAAACACATTATAAATTATGTCAGCATAACTTTTAAAAAAGCATCCCACTTTTAAACCGACCTACAACATCTTCCTGACTCTTTTACTTACTCCTAGCCTCGATGTCAGGAGGGCTGCTGCAACACCTGCTGTGGGTGTTTGGTCACCTGTGTGAGGTCCTCAGCTCGATGTGACTGCAGCCTCCCCACAGCCAGCTGCCCTATTTGTTGCTTTCTGTCTAACCACACCTTATAGGAGGGGAATAAGGCTGATCTCCCCTCACTGCCTCCATGACCTGTCTTTTCCTGACTTCTTCACATTCAGCACTTTCTATTAATTATTTGTAGCCCATTGCACCAAAATTAAACATCTTTTTACATGTTAAATATTCACCACTCTGATATCGGAGTAAAAGTTAACGAAATAAGCTATTTGGTAATTTATTTATCACAAATAATTAACATCAAATAGTTCTTTTTCCAGATGTTGATAAAAGGAGGAAAACAAGATGTCATAATGACTTGATATTAAACAAAAGCATTTTTTTCCCAGTTAAATAACAATAAACTATTTGGGGGGAAACAACGCAGGTATTATTTTGTTACCTAGTTATAACCAAAATGTGCCACTCACCTCAGCATCTACAGCAGCAGACAGCGGCTGCGGAGCTGCGCGCTCTGCGGGAACTTTTCACGCACAGAAAGCCCCCCAAAAAATCTCTCTTAGACATAATATTTACAAAATATCAACCCCAAAAAGAGCATCGCGGACCGATGTTTTGGTTTTATGATGAGCTCTGTGAGAAATGCGTGTGAAGGGGGGAACCGCTCTGCAGCAACAGCGCTTATTGTGCGCTGGCTTTTTCTTTTTCTGCTGCTTTGTAGCCGGTGACAAACCGGTTCAAAGCTGTTCCTGCTGGTCCAGCAGCAGCTTGAGCGCAGCCACGACGCACAAGAGGAAGCAGCGCTTCCTCTTGTGCGTCTGAAGCGCAGCGCAGCAAACGGTCTGATGTGTTGACTGCTTTGGTTTAGATTCTTCCTTTTTTAACTAAACAATTACGCAGCTTAAAAACAACCAAAAGAGGAGCGCGTTCACGCCATATATATCAATAATAGAAAAAAAAAAAAAATAATAAAATCACATGCAAAACACTCCTTTTTCTTTTACCTGCAAAGTTCCCTCAGTCGCAGGGGAACTCTTTGTTTCTTTTTTCTTTTAAGAGTGGACCTTTTCAAGAAAAGTGATTGGTGATAAAATGCATGCTTATGCGTGGATGTGAAAGTTGTTGCTCCAGAGATGGGTGCTGCTGAATGGGCTCCTTCCTACCAGTCACTTTGTTCTTGTTGCCATCAGTCCAGTCTGAACCGGTTGGTGGATCATGGAAAGCAGAAGCACACAGCCCCACCGGGGCGCACTACCCAGAGGAAACCCCGCGGTGCGCAACTACTATATGGAAATAAGGAAAATCATTCTGAAATGTGTTCCGATCTTTCATTAAATATATATAAAATAAAGGATTAAGATGGGAAACACCTTGAAAGGATAAGTGAGAGTCAATATTATGCTGCACCACGTGGGTAGTCTGCCATAAATAACATGATCAGGTGAGAGAAGTGATTCCAGGGGAATATTTAGGGTCAGGTTGATTTGATGGCAGATTAGTGGACTAATTATGGTGAAATAAAACATTAGGCATACGTTTTCCTTGAAAAATCAGAAAACCTTTACATTGGCATAATAATATTATGTATTATATCTCTTGAATTTATATTTAATCACATCACAGCAACAATTTTCTATATATCTAATTAGGATTGTGTGTGATCAGCAGAGGTGGATATAATAGGCTACCCAAAAAATGTACTTAAATAAAGTTTAAAAAAAGAAATGGAGTACTGAGTAAATCAGATATTTAAAATTATGACATAAAGACAGACTGAAATGTAAAGTTATGTGCAAATTCTGGTATTTGCGTCCATAAAAAAATCAAATCAGGGCAGGAGAAACATTTTTCTTTTTAAAAGTTATGAAACCAGTACCTCCAGCTGCAATATCTATTTTGACCTTCAAATGTCATGGTATGTTCAAGTAAGCTTGTGGACAAAATAAGAAGTCTCATTTTGACATAAATTTTAACTATGTGTCTTTGTTTAGAGCAGTTTTTCGTCATTTATTTATATTATATTTTATTTGTATAACTCAAAGAAATGTTAAATGTACAGAGCAGTAAAACGTTTATCAAAAAAGTTACCCAAGTAACTGTAACTGAGTAAATATAATTATACCCACCTCTGGTGATCAGGTGACCAAAAAAAAAAAAAAGTATTGCATAAATGATAGTTGAGAGGAAAATACAAAGACAAATGAGGGACAAAGTATTATTCAGTCCCAGTCCCAATAATTTATGGAACTATCTTTAGCTTTAATTACAGCCGCAATTCATTTTCCTTATGTCAACCAGTTTTTATAAAATTAGAGAGGAAAAATGTTGTGCCATTCCTCTTTTCAAATTAATTCAGCCTCATTCTGATTAGACTGAAGGTGTCTAAAAACTTTGCTTTTTAATTTTATCACCAAATCTCATTTGGATTTAAGTTTGGACTTTGACTAGGCCACAAGGCCTCAGCCTCAAGTCATCTGCAGCTTTTAGCAGGTTTTCTTCATGGGTTGCTGAACTAAACACCCATCCATCCCACAGCATGATGCTCCTACTATCGTGTTTTATTCTGGGTATGGTGCATCCTTTAAATTAATAATTTTAATTGTAGCAAACCTCATGGAGGATTTATTTGAAACTTTCTTTAGCTACAGTTATTGTTTTGCTAATACTCCATAGAGGCCAGATTTTTGGCATGCATGACTAACGGTTTTCCTATTGATGAAAACTCCCATCAACACTAGAGCAACCATTCGTTTTTACTTGCATCTTATATTTATTTATCATAATTCTTTTATTTAATGATGTCCTATCATATAAAATAATGATTTAAAAAAATCACCTCAGCGACCTGAAAATCACTCTGTTTCCGTCTTACTGTTGAGATGTAAGAGTAGATGGGAGAATTGCTCTTTGTAAAACCACACAGGCATCATAAAGTTATATCACCCAAAGTGATTGTCCCTGTTTTTCAAACATGTAGTCAAACGCAGCATAAGGCATTGTCAGCAAAAACACTGTAGGGAGGGATTCTAAATAAAACTGATGTGAACAAACAACCCGTAGAACTTAGGACATGGAAGATAAAAGGCCATAAATTTAAGGGGTAAACAGACGCAAAAGTGCAACTGACTATTACCGTAAGATAAATTCTTCCTGGATCTTTGATTCGTTTTTTTTCCCCCCATAAGTGAGGTAAACTTCCAGGAAGGGGGGGTTAGTGAAACGATTTAGCGTCCATAATCCTTAGTTAATCGTACTTTATACTGGCATTTCACTGACAAGTGCCTCCAGACCAGTTTCAACTAGATATAGTGCATGTAGGGGACAATGTGTAAAGAATTCGAGGTAGTGGATTATTAACCGATTCTGGAATTAATGTCGACTGCAGACTTCAAAGGGCCATTAATTCTGATGGCTTATTGACCCGAGACTTTTTGGCTCAGGACTTTTTATAAGTTATACATAAAGAATATTTTCGGTTATCTAACTCAGTTTCTAGTGACCCAGTAATGACAGTATTGATTTAGAAATTTAGTGATATCTAAAAACTATTACTCTAGTCACCATAACCAATTTATTTTCACAATTTTTATTAATAGTTTATGGATTAGATTATTTTATCTGGTAAAATTGATTAGCATTTGCTTCTACCTATTTGTTTGGCATAGATTTTTTTCTTTAGCCTCTGTAAAGGAAATAAAACATCTGCTAATGTTGGCCTGTACTTGTATAGTTCTTTATCAGGTCTCTAGATTGATTCATTCCCTGACAGAGGCAAGCTTCATTGTCCGAGGGCACCACCTTGGCCTCTGATCATCAGCGGGCAGGAGGTGAAGTGTCTTGGTAAATGGTAAATGGCATGTACTTATATAGCGCCTTTATTCAAGTCAAGAGACTTGACCAAAGCGCTTTACACTACATTCATTCACCCATTGACGCACACACTCATGGTGGCAAGCTACATTGTAGCCACAGCTGCCCTGGGGCTCACTGACAGAAGCGGGGCTGCTGTACACTGGCGCCACCGGGCCCTCTGACCACCATCAGTAGACAATGCAGGTGAAGTGTCTTGCCCAAGGACACAATGACACTGAAAGTCGGAGTCAGGGATTGAACCGTCAATCCTTCGATTTCAGGGCAAACTCCTAAATCCAACGCCACTGTCTTGCCAAAAGGACGCAACAAACAAGCAGAAGAAAACTTGTATAGATCGTCCAACCCTCTTATTGCAGGACGAATTCCTGCATCCTTCACCCCTGCCATCAAAAAAATCCTCCAGAAGTGACGCAATTAAATATGAGGCGTTAAACTATAACAACCTTAAAGGAGGGGTTAAGAAAACCCACATTTATGGCATATTGAAACAGATAAAAAGAAAGGAAAGACAGGAATGAAGGGTGAAGTTAGTGCACTAGAGTTATTTACTGAACTGTGGAACATAGAAACATTTTGAAATCAAGCCCAAGAAAGTTGGCGTTCCTCAAGGGACTGATTTAGGACACCAAAAGAAAGTATAATATTTAAATACAAATTGATCCATTGCATTAACTTTATAAGTAAAACAAAATCTAAAAGACATTTATACACCATGGCATATTGACATCAATTAAACAGTCAGATGATAAATATTTATTGTGTTTGTAATTTGGCCAATAAAATGCATTGTAACAATGACACCAAGCACCCACTCAGATGCCCATTTACTGCAGAATCCACACATCTGCTTGTAAACAGGAATTATTTGTGTTTTAATCCAGTCTCTAGGTTCCCATCGGTTATACACAAGCTGACGTGATGTTATGAGTATTTCTCTTTGTCCAGGACCTTTGTGATACCTGAGAAGCAGCAGCCTGCTGTTCCTTCCTCTGAGAGGTTGGACAGTTGTACGCACAAAGAGCCCCCCCCAAACGATCTTGATAAATCTCTTTAGTTTAGCAGGCTGGTTCCAGAGAGCTGGAGGGGTGAAAAGGTGACAGAACATGGCCATCTGAGCCTCCAGCCTAGATTCCTGCTTGGATTAGGTCAGGTTGCTGAGATAACACAGCAGCACAATAAGGAAACTCAGGACACAGGATACACCTCGACGTGTTTCAGAACTCTCAGCAAGTCTTTGGACGAAAACATACTTATGTCACACCTAGAGTGCTGAGTATGTGTTACTTCTGGGGAGGTTCAGCTGACAAATGTGTGTGAATCAGCTGCAGTAACCCACAGTGACCTAATGAAAGCCTAATGCGTCTCATTTGCTTTCTTTTCTTTTCCTACATGCTGTTATTACACCCACATTACAAAGGTTTATGGTGTTAAATGGCCCTGGAATGATTGATTTGTGGAAACCACTCCTACAGCACCCAGCCAGTTAGAACCGGTTAAACCATGTCGACCACATGAAAATTAGACGCTGGCACAAAAAGAAAGACTGGTTTTTAGAGGACATCACGAGTTGGTTGCGTAACAATAGATTAATCTCAAAGGATAACCTACTCCATAGATATCCAAGTTTTTTGTTTAGCAATGCGAAAGGGAATGCCAGACTGCTAGTCCTTACAGGCACCAATTTTGCCCTCAAGAAAGTCAGGGATTTTAATTAATATTAGAGATGTGGGGCAACTAACATGTGACCCTGGGGGCTTTAACGTTCCACCTGATTTATGCAGCCGTGATGATTCAGCATACTGATACCTTATTAAATCTAAAGTACAGGTATACTTTAGAAGAGTAATCTAATACTAATAAAATGAAAAATGTGATAGCAATGAAAAGTAGACTGAAAGGAAAGGAAATGTCCTGGTATGGTGATTCACTCATTCAACATTAAGCAGTAAAAGGTCATCACAATGGCTGGTTATAATTAAGTAGAAGGAAAAAGTTAAATAGAAAAGTATTAAAGTAACATTGAAAATTGTTACAAAAAGTTAATTAAGCTAGTGTTGGTGATTTAAGAGCCATCAGACCATTGTATGCAGGAAGTTTTCTTTGAGTTAAAGGTATAGTGAGGATTTTCTCAAATGTTTTGAAAAGACCCGCCATCTCTTAGAAGAAAAATGCACATGCACAACCGTGTACCCGCTCCCAAGAGGCAGCTAATATTAAATGCGTGCGAGAGCATGCACAAGTCCATTTATCCTCATGCACGCTGTTTGAAAAATTGCTGTTTGCATCGCTCATACAGGCTTTACACAATTAGGAGGACCACTTATTTTGATGACCCACCCAGAAGACGAACATCCCCCACTATACCTTTAAGCAAAGCCGAGGCAAAGTCAGGCGTGTTTTACCTGAGCTACTTAGAAAAAAGTCAGAATCGATGCGGTCCTTTCTTAATTAAAGTAAATTTGCCTTTCAGTATAAATCTTTAAGGTCTGGAAGAAGAGTATAGATCCACCAAATGTAAGCAGCTTGAGGTCCATTGGAAAGTTCCTGGAGTCGATAGCGGTTTGGGCCAGGTTATTTGCTGCCACTAGTCCAAAGTCAGTTCAGCTGCGTACCAGCATTTCAAGAATCCTTCTGACATGCTATATAGAGGTGACTTTGATGAAGTTTTGCAGTGTCTCAAACCTTCCCACACTACCTATATATACCATTACGTGCTCAAATAAGCTTGCGATCATTGAATTGGATTGGCTGGCAAACTTGTCTAACCTGAATCCATGGGGTAGGTTAGGGCTGGCAGCCCTAAAATAGAGCAATGCAGTAATAACAGATATTTTGTGCATATATATATATATATATATATATATCTTTTTTTTATTTATTTATTTTTATTTTTTAAGTTGGTCAACATTTGTTGTAACAGAAAAAGTGTTCACCTTATCTATTGAACTAACTCAAATTTAAGAATTTATTTTGATCTATAAATTTAGATGTTTTAGAAAGTAAGTATTGAGTTTTTACCTGAATGCTTTTAAGATCCTGCAGCAAACCTGTCAGACAAATCATTATCCAAAGAGGACAAACTAGAAAACTAAACAGCTCATAGAAAAACGGTTGTAATGTTTACAAACCATAAGGACACTGGGGTCCGATTGTACTCACCTGTTAAGTGCTGTACAGTTTTTTTTTCTGTTTATGTATAAAACTAGCAGCTATAATGCAAAAATCCCCTCTATAGAATTTTGGTAAAATATCACAGTTGTTTTGATGGTGCAGATTTATTTAAGGCACAAACATTTTCCATCAATTACCATTAGAATGAAGGATATGATAAGTTCCACAATGAGACATTACAAGCAGGCTAAATATACAGTAATCCGATAAATATGTGCATAAAAATCAATGGATTTTCGATTAGGGAAACTATAACAGATGTTTGTGGAGGTGCATTTTTAAATCCTCACAGGATTACAAATGAGTAGCAATTCCTCATAAAACGAACAAAGCCAGTCTTGTCATGTCAAGAGCTTTAATCATACATAGAAATTTAGCCAACAGTACCATTCAATCAGAATGCTCTATCTGTATGTATATTTAGTGTAGATTTATGATTTTCTTTTTTTTCTGATGAGAAATATCCATTAGGATGATAGAAGCTTTCAGAAATACACTGGAGATAGATCAGAGAGAAGACTGAGTACATGACTAAGCTGTAACACCTTGGATTATAGTTGTTGACATTAATCTCTGGTTTCTGAACCAGTGTCAATCTTCATGGATATTTTTTTTTAACTTTAACTTTATTTGAAGGCTTTCAGGAACTAAAATAACTGCACTGTGTCCTACGATGGAGAACATCCCGACAGCCTTCTACAACTCTTTTTTTTAAAGACCTAGTCGAAGCCACGATTAACTTGGTCATAATGACACGGCTTAGAAAACAAAGGGTGAGCTGGAGTGGAGGACTTTACTGCTATGTGTCATATTATAGGCATAAAAAAAAAGAAAAATCAATCCATCCATCCACTTCTCTAGCTGTACATCCATCAATCCGAACATCCAACCTATAATAAAACACCACCATGGAACACACTAACTGTGCTGTTTGTGCTATCTTTGAAGCGCCACAACAACAACTCCAACCGTCTAGAGTCCCAAGCAGAGAACAGAACAGGTACAAGACAGAAGGTGGAACAAGTATTTATCCTACAAATCCCAGAAGCATTTATTCTGAAGTCCATCCTTTCCTTTTAAGAGTAGATGAGTAACGCCACATGTGGATTTGGCAGGCCGCTACCGTGACTGAGGCCGAGTCGCCTTCTTGTTTCCTTTTCCCTCCAAAACATCTGAAGCTGCGTCTTGTGGACTTTAAGAGTAAGGAACTTCACTTCCAGAGCTGGAAAAGATGGAAGTTACAGCGGTAGCATCGTGGCAATCAATGCGCAGTCATGCGCAGAGACAGAGACTGTGTGGGTGTGCACGTGTGAGGCGTTAAGGCTGGGAGGGAGGCTGCTGCTGCGGTGCTGCGTGATGTGACATGGCCGCCGGCGAGGACATGGACTGGACCATGGGCTGGGCCGGTGGGGGAAGTGGAGGTTGGACCTGCTGGGCCCCTGAGTGCGTGTTAGGAGAGGGCGGTGGTGTTGGACGTTTGAATTTGTCAGGACTGGTGCTCCTTCTTGGGGAGGGCCTCTGTTTTAGAAAGAAAGAGCAACAAGAAAGGAAGAAGATTAAAGACTTTATATGAAAAAAAGTCACATTTAGAACAGCAGTTTCATTTGGTCTGAAGTTGCCATGTCTAACATGTTACTACACCTCTGTTGTCACAGGCTGGTGTCCTCAGGCATTAAATATAGCCCTGGCTGACACACTGGATCCAATGAATGGGTCATTACCAGGCCTCCTATGATTATGCTTCTACCTTTGGATTTAAATGTGTTAAAAGAGGGGCCCATCTAATTCAACACCAACCTCTTTAGGGTCAGAGAACTTCTTTAAAGTTTCAACATTGGGTCTAAATGAAAACCTATTTTTAGAACCAATGACTACAAACTAGAGCGGGGGTCGACAACCTGCAGCCCCGGAGTCACATGAGGCTCTTTAGCGTCCCCCTTGCGGCTCCCTGGAGATTTTACAAAAATGTATGAAAATCGATTTATTTTGTTTGTTTGTTTTAATATGGTATGCAAAAAAATGTATAATGTTTTTCAATGCTGTAAACATTTGTATGATAAATAAATTTAAACAATAATTTGAGTCATAGCCATGGAGATCAGTGGCCATAACTTGGAACCAGCGTGGCGCAGTGCCAGGCAAACATTGCAGCAGGTGTGTCTCAGACCATGGTTTCTAAAGGAAAAAAGGAAGATCGCTGATGACAAAAGAGGATTCAAAGAATGGACCAAATCATTTGCTTTCAATATAAATGCAGAAGAATGGCCTTCATTTTTGCTTAGTAATGAGAGGTTGTCAAAAAAGAAAAAGAAAAATTTGGAAAGGCATTTCCAGGGAAGGCAAGCTAAATATGCAGCCGACCACCAAGCTGGGAGTGAGAGAAAAAGTGCGATTGCAGAACTTCTGGATAAATTAGAGGAGAGCAAAGATATATGGATAGATAGTGGATTGCATCTCCAATACTGCTGCTAGTTTGGTTGCAAGGATGGAAAACCGTCCACAGATCAAACAGGTAGCGCTCTGATGCAGGTATGTGAACTTTCTTCCATTTTCCCCCCAAATCCTAAAAATATAAATAACAACAAGATGGTGACAGAGGATGTGAGATTTCAGTTCCTGCTTCGTTCCTCATGACTCAATCAACTCTTCACAACAGAAACAAGTCCACCATAGAAACATTCCTTTATCGTGTTTCTATCATTTCATCAATGCAACAAAACCCGCGAAGTGAAGCGAAGTGCGGTTAAGCTATGCCAGATGAAGCAGCGCACGGTGAGAGCATTCACGACTCCTCCCTCACCTCATGCTGCGATGTGACATTTGCTCCAGGATAAACATTTAATCGTAAATGCTTATTATATATTTAAGCCCAGATACTGCTTTTCTATAGTGGGATAATACACTTAGAGCCCGTGTTGCCATAAGAGGCATATATAACACTTTTACATTTTTGCGGCTCCAGACATTTTAATTTTTTGTTTTGGTGGTCCAATATAGCTCTTTGAGCATTTTGGGTTGCCAACCCCTGAACTAAAGTTTGGCAATATGTTTTAAAAATTTAATCTTTGATTCCTTCTAATTGATGGGTTTTATAATAGAATAGGAAAACGACGTATATCGCCCAAAAACTAGCTTTTAAATCAATCATCTGGGAGGTGACCTCAGTTTGAACTGAAGCTGTGAAACATGCTTGTAATATAAACATGTTCCACAACAAACACGATATAATACTAAATGTTTTCAGGCAGTGGTATCACGCAGACATAGTTTATCGGAGATGAATAAACATCCAAGAACAAAAAATTATAAAGTGTTGAACTGATGTCAATCATATCTATTGGAGGCCAAGGAGTGGATTTGTGCGGTCCTACTGCAAACATTAAATCAAATAATCCTTAAAGCAGCATTAAATAAAAGGAAGCCATCTTCTCAACAAGAAATCAGGAGGAACATGATAAGGTAAAGACTTCTCCCTAAGATGCTAATGATTTAAATATTGGGATCTTTTTGTTTTAGTGAAACTAACTTTAATCCATCTACACCTCTTCAGATTTTATTATGTTTTTTTGAGGTGGGTTGTATTGTGCAGCTGTCTGCAACCTGCAATCCTGTAGCCACCAATCTATTTTGTTGTTCTTCACAGTGAAATTTAACATGTTTGCACCCCAGACAGATGAAATATTTCTGATAAAATACTGAAGCGATGTATGAGTTGGTAAAAGAGACTTAAACAAGTTACAGTCCGACAGTTTAAAAGCCTTTTAATGAGAAGCCAAAGTGACCAGAATAACATTAATATAAAGGTGTTGCAATCAAAACAGAATCTAAAAATAAAACTGCTGAATAGGGTTATTTGCCAACCCGGAACAAAGCTGTATATTGAAACGTGAACAGAGCCATATAAAGAGATATGCTTGTTAAACAGGGAACACTGATTTTGTTATCAACCAGTTATATAAAAAAATGCACATGCAGGAGCATTTATGAGCTGCAGAAGGTTCTTCAGGTATCAATGTTACAGGGCAGCCATATCTGAACGAAAATCAGGAGTTTTCCTTGGCAGGTCTCAGTTTGGAAAATTTGCCTGAAATACTATATGAGATATAAATGCTGTGTTCCTGACAGGATGGTGCTGCTTTATGTCTGAACTGAGACTGCTATTAGATCTATTCATCACATAAGGATGAATAGATTCCTACAGTTAAATTACAGCTGGGGCAGAAATGCCCATTAGAGTCGTCGTTTCCAGTAGAAGTTGCATAGTTTCAAGGTAAGCTACTGACATCATGATTTTACAAGAATTGAAACAGTCTGCTGATCCTTTGGTCCACAGTCCAGGAGACTGAATCACCAGAGGCCCTTTATTTAGCTGCCGCTTTATTGCCATTTGCTTTGTATCTGATAAAAGGCCCTATAGAAGGACACTTTATTATACTCCTACTCTGCTGAGCTTCTGTAGATAGAGGTGGTCCACACTAATTATTCTAAGCCTTAAAGAGAGGCTTTGTTTTTTTTTTGTTTTTTTTATCTTACAGACACACCCAGTGCCCGTTAGCCTCCACAGAAGAAAAATACATCAAATACTAACATTGTAGACAAATACTTGCTTAATATTTAAAAGGAAAAAAAACAAAACAAAAACAGATTTTTATTGCATAAATACAGCCATTTTCTATGCTTATTTTTTAATAAAAACATACTTTTTTTTTTACCTGTATCACTATATTTTTTAAATGTTAGCCGTTTACACTTTCATATATTTTAGCTGGTTTTAATAATAATAAAAAAAAAACTGAGAAAGAAAGACGAGGTGAATATGTAAGTGTTAAAATACAAAGCATTACCAGCCAATTTCTTTTTGAAGAAAATGGAATTGAATGATTGTTTTTCTTCTTCTTTTAATACCAAAGAAAAACAAAGCAGGAACAAAGAAAGGAAAAGAAATCAGTTAAGTGGTTTAATGTAATTTGGGGGGCAGAAATATGTGCTTTATTTCTATTGCTCACTGAAATCAGAGGCACCAATCTCTGCTCATATTGAAAAAAAACCCCAAAAAACTCTTAAACCATGGATACCCTAAAACGTAAACAAAAAACACTTTATGTGGCTCATAATGTAATTTATAAGTTAAAATGATAATATGTAAGCATTAGTTTGCTGGGATGCAGGAATCAACAATGCTATGTAATGAAACAGTGTCCCTGAACTGCTTAACCCCCAAATATTCTGAATAAGCAAGAAGAATCAGGATTAGACATTCTTAGAGACGCATTACTGTGGCTGAAAGGGAAAAACCAGATCTGTTCTTTGATAAAACCAGCTAAAATTGTTCCTTTCATGCCAATTAAGTAAGTCAGGATATGTTAAGAAAGTAGGCTGTAGGCTCTTTATAGTTTACCTCTTATCTTTCATTGAACCATCTTAAACCTCTTTATGCTCTAGAAACAGTGCACATAGACTTTCCTTACTGCCAACTTCTATTTCATTATCCATTTGGAAACCAAAGGTACCATAAGTCTGTCCTTGAAGACTGGTATCCTGCATGTTTCATCAGCTCAACAGACCTTAAACAATGAATGAGTCACAAGCAGAGTCCAGTAGAACTGGATGACATGGGGTGGAGCCAAGTCCTCTCTTTGATTGAGCCATGTTGGAGCAGAGAAATCTAAAGCATTCAGGACTGAGCCTTTAGGATGCTGTTGTTACTCTAAAAAGCTACACAAGACTTTTTAAAGAAATGGGTATAATTATAAGACTAAAAAGATTAGTCATATTCTTCCTTGAGCATTGATATTAGTGCATGTTGCTTACCGCTACGGCATGAGAAGAGCTTCCGTGAATGTGCAGGGCGGGGGTGTTGTAGTGGGAAATGGAAGCTCTGGACAGCGTTGCTGGAGGCGTGAAGCCTACTGTGTGTGTTCCATATGAGAGCCCTGTGAGACAATTTGTGGGGAAAAAGACAAAAAAACAAAAATGAAATTAAAAGAATGATGCATTTTTTGTCACATGACGTAACATTACTGTAGAAGCAACCATTCAACAAATAATGGTGACTATAACCACATTCTACACTGCAAAAACAATCTAGAAATAAGTTAAAATGTCTTAAATTAAGGGTAAATGCACTTAATTTGAGTAGGTCAAGATAATTTGCCAATGGAATGAGTATTTGTACTCTTATAATAAGATAATTAGATATCAACATGTTATTAGACAATGCAATTGTTTTTTTCTTATTTTAAATCCAAATTGTTTTGTTACATCTGTAAAGTGTCTCACTCCCCCCCCCTAAATTCTGGAAAAAATGCACCTATTAAAATTTTAAATGTCTCAACTTTCTGTCCTTGTCTATATTGTGATCAGAGGTTTGTTAACATTTTGAAAACGTACAAGATACATCTCTTCAGTATCTTTACTCAGTCACATCCAACATCATAATAGCTTGTTTATAAACGTTTGCACCAGGTTAGACACAGGGCAATTAATATACAACTTTTATTACAAAGATAAAACTTGGATCAAAGATAAAAGGGCTCTTAATTGACACCAAAGGTACTTTTTATTACATTTTGTACTTACCGGGTGATATGGGTCGACTCGAGCTGGGGGAGGGGGTGTAGGGGATGGGGCTGGACACCGTCCTCGCTCGTAGACCTTGTGACATCTCATTGAAGTATCTGAGAGGATCAGACGACCTTGTGAAAATGAATTGGTTTCAAGCCCAAAACATCATTCTCAATTCATATACAGATGGCGATAAAGGCATGAAGTAATATGCTAAGATCTAATCGCAACGTTCAAAACGAGGGGAGCTGGATTAGTGGTATAAAGGCAAACAGGAGATTACTTTCAAGTCTGTCTGAAACCCAGCAGATTACCTTACATATGGTGCTCATTCTAACATGCTTCAATATTGCTAACCTGCAATAAACACTCCGGTTCCTATTGACTTTTTCCCCCCCCGACTGTTCAATATAAATTAGTTTTGCCTCTGTCCCTTTTGCCTTCCGGAAACGGATATTTCCTTAATAATAGAGAGTGATGTGATTGGCTTTTGCTATCTCACGTTACACCTCGCAATGATAAAAATGTCAGCAAGTGACCTAGAACGCCTTGGTTTACTTTCTGTCAGTATCATCATATCACCTAGTTGGTTCTCAACAGTCTGTGGCGTCAAAGGTGTGCCACGCCCTACAACTGAAACTTATAACAAGCAGCTGAAGCCAAAACATGCAGAGAAAACCTAACAACCTAATGTTCTATTCATCAAATCCCTTTTTTAAACAAGCAGCAATATGGCTGCAGTTGATGCAAAACTATAGCCTTAGATTTTTTATATTTCACAGAAAACTAAAACAGAACCATATTTTTTTGTTTTCATGTAAAAAAACAAACAAATAAATATGTGCATTTATCATGAATGCCAAGAGTAATCACTTAAGACAAAAATGTCAGTTTCAAATTAAGATATCTGACTGTTTAGAGGATTTTTTGTGGTTTGAGGAGGCACAATCTAACATTTGTCTTGGATTTCTGAACATAACAGGAAATCATCTGGGTACAGCTTATGTGCCCAGGTTATTTTTAAGAATGCCTTTCAGATGTAAAATGATTACACAGTTCGAACACGCTGTTCTTAAACACACAGAAAGTACACTTTGATGTGGTCTTTGCAGAGGAAGACACACTCCTCAAACTCAAATGTGGATTACCCAGTAAAAGTATTAATACTTCCTAAACTCTTTCACTTTTTGTCATGTTACCACCATAAAAACAAAGCATATTTTACACATTTAAAGAAAAATGCATAAACAAAGTAGTAAATAATTGTTAAAATAAGGGAGGCACCGTTTTCAGACGTTTTACCAAAATAAATACCCAAGAATTTCAGCTTACATTTTTCGCCCCTCCCCCTTTACTCAGATACCAACAATTAAGGATCCAGTGCAAACAAGTGTCTGATGATGTCATCTAATTAGTAAATAGTTAACCTGTCCATAATTTAATGCAAACAATAATAAAAGTGTTCTCTGATGGCTTCAGAGGTTTGTTAGAGAACAGTAGTAAAGATTAACCATCATAAAGACCAAGGAGGACAGCAGACAGCTAATGGAGAAGCATAATTATGAAATAAAACAATATTCCAAGCTTTAAACCACAGTTTCTGAACCCTGGCCTACATGTTATAAGTGTTTCCCTGCCTCCACACAGATGACCTAAAAAAAAAAAGGTGATTTTACAGCATTAGATCAGGTGTGCTTAAGGTAGAGACATCTAAAATATGAAGTTGTTGGTTTATGTGTTCAAGGTTTATGTATTAGCATTTTTTATGCTAGGGTAGTATTTAGCAAGGAGTTTGCCACAAGCTACATAGGGCAACTGGCAGCCATGTAAAACTTGTTCTGATCAGATGCAAATAAAACTGAACTTTTTTTTTTTTGGCCAGTATGTGGTAAAAAATATAAAATATGCACATCGCCCTGAATACAATAATCCTCCAAGTGACAAATGGTGGTGGTAGAGGCATGCTGTGTTGATAAGTTTATATTAGCAGGAAAAGAAGATGGTCAGGACTGATGAGGGGAGGAGTTAATAAAGGCAAACCTGGTGGAAACCCTTTTAAAGGCCGCCAAAGACCTCCAATTTACCCCTATCCATCTGCATTGAGAAGCCCTTAGGAGGTAAAGGAGCATGTGCAGATCACACAATAAAAACCAAAGATAAATATGGCAGTTAGACCAAAAGTTCTTATCGGGAAGATTTTATAACTGTTGAAATTGCTTTATTTTTAGTTTTTGGCATGAAGATATTTTTAATCAATTATATTCAATAACTGGATAGTAGACTACTTTTTTTTGCATACTTTGATACATTTGTTTTTTAATCATTATGTTTTGGTTAAAGCAACATTTGCAGCTCTGTGGTTGATCCCAGATGTGAAAGGTCTTTTATTTTAAGCAAATCTCTCTCTTCAGTCAGTTAGTTTGAAAATTGGGATTCTGTGATTCTTTAGTTCCAGTTGGAGGTGATTTCTGCAGTTTGACAAAAAAAGAAATTGAGTCAAATTTTCACAGCATGACATCTGCCCGCAACTGCCCTCCATTGGTGTTTGGAAGATGTGCAAATGCTTTTATAGATTATAATTGCAACGAAGTTCGCAGCACAGCCAAGCTGGACGCAGAGTAAATACGGGGTACGATAGAAACACATTCTTGAATTGTAACGAATGGGTTGATAGACGGACATAAATCTAGCATATTGTTTCCAGATGTTCACCAGTTCCTGCCACATACAGACATTTCCACAAAAAAGACGCTCCTAGTCTCATAATTTACAGTAAAGATTGGATTCTTAACAGTGCAGTGTGCCATTGTCATAGGGCCACTCCCACACACAGATCTTATTAATGTAGTGGAGGACAAAAATGCTGACATCCTGGGTGCTTCCATTTCTAAAGAGGAACACTGGAGCTGCAACCTCCACTGCGCCTTTAACAGCATTAAAAGGTGGAAAAGGCTTATCTCTGTAGTTACTTTCTGCATCCACTGTGCCTTAAAAGCACGGGCGCTTCTATCCGCAATGAAGATGGTTCAGCTAACTACAGGTTTTGACTGGTGAGCTAAATGCATATTAACATCACATTAATCAGATTTCTATTTTAAAAAACCTTAGAAAATCTTTGTACCTTTTTTTCCCCTGTGCTTCAATGTTGTGCTCCATTTGTTCTGTTTTATTACATAAAAACCCAATAAAAAACACTGAAGTTTAAGGTCAGAACAGCACGAAATACAAAAGCTCCATGAAGTATGGATGTCTGCATGATAATTGTTTTCTATCCGAAAGAGAGGAAGCTATATTGAACGCCTAGTTAACCTTATAATGGCGGTCTTACTATATAAATCATCTATTAGTTTTTTTTTTTAACTTTTCCAGCTCTTGACTTATTTAAATTTCAAGTTCAAACTTATAGGACAATAAGCAGAATGCTTTCATTTATTATGATCTTCCAATTCATCAGCAAGGACCCTCACAATATCAGACTTATCTACAGATATTACTGTTGAATATAATTTTGTACTGACCTAATGTAAAAACTATTTTTAAACCAAGTGATATTCTGTACTGTGATATGTAGCATTTTTTCACCTCTCATCATCCATCTCCAGACTGGATTCACTCTCAGACAGTTGCCTGCATAGAGCCTCCCTGCGCTCCATCTCTCTCTGAAGCTTTCTTTGCAACCGAATGTTCTCCTCCCGCATCTGCCGCTCCTCTTCTATGTACTGGGCCCGCTTCTCAGTGTCTAGACAGAAACATATACATATATATAATAACAAGAGCACCCAAATCAACTGAGTCAACCGACTACCACACAAAAACATCTATCTGAAAGTGGTGAACAATGTCCCAGTAAACTCAATACAACCCATTGTGTGCATTACACTGCTGTTGCTTTTCCAGCTAAGAAGTGGGTCAATGCCAGGCTTTAATAACACAGCTGGTTTAGAAGACAAACAAAGAGGAATGCTGTGACTCCTTATCCTAGCGTCCTTTACCTCAAGTTTGTTAAAAAAAAGTTTGTGTTATATCTCCATCTAGTGGTAAGAAGGAGCGCAGACAAAATCCAAGTTACAGAATGCAGCCTCCCAACAGTAGCTGTTTTCTCCTGTGTTGTGATGTCACTGCTACCTTTTTTAAAATAATTAATATAAATGATGCCCTCATAAAATTATATGTAGAGATAGCATTATTATTTTAGTCATTTGTAAAGTTAGGACAAAAGAGCGTGCAAAACTTCATGTCACAATCCAACACTGATATCATTTTGAATAGACAACATAAGAAAAAGTAACACTGGGTACAAAAAACTGTTCACCTTTGTTTACCAGTTAGTTTTACTAATAACGGATTAATATTGAATGCCAACCCCACACCTGCAGGACAGCGAGCACTTACGCTGCAACTCAGTGGTACGCAGACTTTTCTTGAGTCTTTCCACCTCATTCTTCAGGAAGCGGATATGCCGCATCATGTTCTCTGGTGAGTCTATTTCCATGGAAACATCTCGAGGAGAAGGAGGAGCTGATACAGGCTGGTCCAACTTCTCTTGAAGGATTCTAGTTGAATAGAAAGGGCATTATTAATTTACTTAAAGATAAAAACAAAACATATTGCTACTGAAGTAACTATAAAAAAAGAACAGCATGACCCTTAAGAACTTTAACATTTTCAAAACAAATGTAGTCCTATTGAGCTGTGATAAAATGCTGCAAGGATTTACATTAGTTCCAAGACTTTTTATTTCTAGATGCTGTTTATTAGATTAAATAGACAAAGTCTTTTGAATGCTGTAGCTCTGTCTACAGAAATTAAAGCGTAAGATACCAAAGGGCTAACATAATTTAAATATAAAATTGCATTTCTGCTTTTACAAATAAAAACTTGGAACTGATTTACAAATATAAAATATGTGTATCTCAAGCTTCTGTATAACATTTAAGACATCTTTGCTGTGAACAAAACTTTAATTAGAGATGTCCCAATCTGATATTGATATTGGAAATTGGTTTGATAAAAGCCAAAAGATGTATATTGAAATATTTTGGCCTGCAACTAAAGTCTCTGATCTAAGCAAGCCGACAGAAAGAGTTTATCCGGGAAATCCTTGATTTTAATCACAGCCCGCATGATAAAACTCGTCTAGATAGCTATCTTATTTACATTTTTTAGAAAACGGATTATGTTATTTGTCGAGAGCAAAAGAGGTCTTATGCTAAAGGACTGACCTTGTTGCCAAAAAAGAAATGTCCAGTGTTTGGAGACAACAGGTTAGGTAAAATTTTGTTTTTTTAAACCAGCAACACACCATCCTGAAGGATCTATCTTTATTTTAACATCTTTGTTTAAACAGAGCCACTGCTGATTTTATTTTCTACCTTTTCTCCGCCTCCAGTTTGTCCATCCGCTTCCACAGCCTGTTGACAAGTGCTTCTTGTTCTTGCTCTAACGTGTTCTCAAGGTCAATCTTCTCCCTCCTCAACTGGAAACGGAAAACAAAGAAATACATTTCAGAAAAAAACAAGATGGTGCCAACTGAATGCGCACTCACAAAAAAAATAAAATAATCTGTCTTCAAACCAAAGGACAACACCCTAAGAAAACTTTCCTTATAAAGAGATCTACATACATCAGACTAAGACTTATCACACATGTTTAAGAACACATCAATCCTTCAGGACATGACGTTCTCTGCAGATGCTGGATGAGGTCTTCTTGTGCACAGGGAGTCCTCCATTACGTCAAAGTAGTCTGACAGTTTAGAGCATTAACAGACATCCACACAGAAGTCATGGTTGTTTATCATAACCATGGCAGGACACAGGGATCCTGAGCGGAGCATGGGGGCATACGGTTACAGAAGAACGTTGTGTCCAAGAAACTGAAGCAGAACTGGTAGAGAGAATTTCTGGTGAGTAATTAACTGTCTCCAGTTCTTGCAGTCCTTGTTAAAACCAGAAAAAAATACTTCATAAATCTTTAGAAAATAAAAAGCCATGCTTTCCAAGTGACAAAAACTCTCCTTATTAAAGCCCCTGGCAGAGTAAAAGCAATATGCACGGCACACACCCCTAAGGCAAGGGGTCAGAGTTGAAACTCCAAATTGCAACCAGACTCAGCAATGTAGACTGTTGCAAAATTGAAGAAACTGGCTTGTTTTGCTGGTGGGTGTGTGTACCTGTCATTCTGTAAAAGCTCTGGCATTCTGATCCCTGAGGGGGAGGAGGAGACTGAGCAGCGAAAAGGAGCCTGAGACAAGAATAATATGACAGCCTGCTGGTTTGTTTGGAAAATTTACAGAAAGTTTTCTGAAAATATAAACAGACTGGGCTTAAGGAGCACAAAGTCATCAGCTCATAG